CTTAAGGCCAGAAATGCTGATTTCATTGATCTGGGTCTGGCTTGTCTTTTGAGTACTGCAATTTTTCTTTCTTTTCTTTTCGTAGTCTGATTTTTTTGTGAAAGCATACACACCAATTCAAGCTCCCACCCAAAAAATATCTACAGGTAATATTCAGGGATGTTGGTTGCATTCCTCCCATTGTGTTCTCATTACGTCCATTCTAGCAGTTCTATTTCCATTTTGGTCTCAGTGCCCATACAGCCTTCTCTATACTTTAGAATCAGTGTTGACTAGTTGGTCGCATACCAATAATTTCTTAAAGAGTGCAGTAATCATGGGTCACCTTTTTTACTTTTTGGGCTAATTTATTTCATTAAAAATGAGCTATGCCAGACTATTAACCAACAGTGTGAATCCCCCGGCTGCTCGGAGGGAGAATGATGGACAGTCTCCTAATTATAATCTGGCAATCTGATGGAGGGTTGCTATGAGTCAAAATTGACTGGACTTCAGTGGATTGGGTTGTTTAGTTAAATGGTGATTTAAGGAGTTAGTTTCACATCAGGTTTAGAGTTATCTCAAGGCAGTCTTCAGACTCAGTGATCTAATAAGTCTGGATGCACTTGAAAATTTGAAATGTGTTCCACATTTCCCCCCCTTTTTAACAGGATCCATCCACTCTTACCCAGATCTAGATGTTTGGCAGTGGTAACCGGAACCATCTACTTCCTCTGGTCTCTACGCAGAGGAGACTGTGTTTCATGGAAACATTTATGCTTGTAGACCAGGTGCTTCTCTGATTCTTGAGTTTCCTCCTTTCACTTTTGCTCAAGACAAAAGTTGTTAAGTGCTGTCGAGTTGAACCTGACCCATCGTGACCCTATGAACAACAGATCTGAACTCTTTGCCATCCTCATCATCTCTGATGTTCTTCAGTCCAGTACTGCAGCCCTGTGTCATTCCATCTCATCGAGGGTCGTCCTCTATTTTGCTGAGCTTCCACCTCTCCTGGCATTATGTCTGTTTCCAAGGAATACTCCCTTCTAGCAACAAGCCCTTAATTATGTTAGGCAAAGGGTTGCCATCCTTGCCTACAACGAGCACTCTGGCTACAGCTTCTCCATCACATTTCTGTGTGTTGTTTTGTCAGTCCATGGGATATTTCTTACTCTTCTCCAGCCCTACAAGGTAACCTCCTGTACCACCAGGGCTTCTTGCCTAACAGACATACCTAACGTATATACCTGACCACCCAAAACCTTCCAAGACTCAAGACTGTGTTCTGTCACCTGGTAACATTGTTAATAACATGAAAGTTCCTGGTATGTAGAATACAAATTTTATGAATTATATTATGCTAGTTAACATTGCCAGTAATGAGACTTTTAAAAGATGCTACTGAGGAGAGTCTGTAAATAGAGGTAGAAATGGAGAATACTAGAAATGGAAAACCAGTTTGTTTTGTAATAAATTTTCACTCAAGTAACAATTTTTAAAAAGAAATTCTAAAAAATTGGGAACTATTACAAGCAAATGTCGAACACTAGCATAAAACAACTTTTATCTATTCATCCGTCTCTCCATTTGTAATTTTTTTTTTTTTAGGTAAAAAGTAAAGATAAAATTATTAGAAAGTTATGTCCCAAAGGATGATGTCCCCCTTGGAAAGTACTAGAGGAGGCCCATTAGTAAATGTTTTATTATCAGACCCACTGCCTCTGCCGTCAAGTCAGTTCTGACTCCTGGCAGCCCCCCATCAGGTTTTCTAGCTTTAAATCTAAACAGAAGGTGAAGGGGTTGTTAAGAGTCTAACCCAAATGCTGCTCTTTCTCAGATAGCAGTCTAGCACATGCACTATGCCATAGGGTCCTTACATATTTTAGTAGGAAGAAGCAAAACGTTTAATCACATATATCACCAAGTTCTGTCACCTGGTAACATTGTTAATAAGGTAACATGAAAGTTCCTAATATAGTACATAGTAGGTCTTCGCTAAATAGAAGCTGATTCTCAATTTAATTTTTAGTTTATTTAGGAGCCACACATTTAAGAGTCTGATTGTAAAATAGTGATTTCATATATACTTTTGCATAACATTTTATGACATTCACTGAGCTCTATAAGCTATCTGTAAACTTCCTTTCTCACCCTAACTTTATTCTCTAGTTTAAAAAGCCTGACTCAAAAGCATTTAGAATAAAGCGTAAAAGTGGATTTGTGCTTTGGTTTTAGATTTTTATCTTACCATCTTGCTTAGGTTCACCTAACTTTGAGTGCCTGTGGCAGGACGCGACACACCATTGCTACCACCAGTTGCCATGGAGTTGAATCTAGCTCAGGGGACCCCATGAATGTCATTGTGTCAGGACTGTGCTTTTGTAGCTGATGTTTTAGAAGTAGGTCATCTACTTTAGAAGTAGAAGATTCAGAGATGTTTTGGAGGGGACTCTCCAATTACCTGTTTTAATTAAATAGTTTGTGGGATTACCAGCTGTTTCTGTTCTCAAGGATACGCACTGTGCTAAATTAATTACTAGCTGCTATCATTATTATTAAGGGAATTCTGATGGCTTAATGGTTAGGAGTTGTGCTGTCAGCCTAAAAGCTTGCAGTTCCAATCTACCAGCTGCTCTGCTAGTGGTCCGGGAGACAGGGTAGATGTGTGATTTACTGCCTCTGGAAACTTGCTGTAAGTGGGTGGTGGCTATAAGCTATAAGTTGATTCAAAGTTGACAGCACACAACAACATTATTATTAGGTGACTGGCCTTATGGGTAAGGAATTGTGCTTCCACCCCAAAGGCAGGTGGCTTGAATCCACCAGCTGCCTGGAGGGAGAAAAATGGTCAGCCTTCTTCCATGTGATTTTATAGCCTTTGAAAACCCACTGGAGGGTCAGCTATGAGTTGGTTCCGACATAACAGGAATGTATTTAGTTTTGTTTTAAGTTGTTATTATTAAATAAAAAACACCAGTTGCCCCATTACAACTCCCAGTGATTCACATGGGCACCATGTGGGTTTCACTGCCTGATTTTTTTGGAAAGCAGATCTCCAAACTTCTCTTGTGAAGTGCCTCGCCTCACCCCCTCACCTTTCATTTCACAGCTTACTGCTTTCATTAACCATTTGTGTGATTCAAGGTCTCCAATGCCTGAGCATGAGAATGTAAGAACTGGTGGGGGCTGGGGAAATAGCGAATACAAGATGCCAAAGATAAAGGTGGAGGGGGAACCAAGGTGGTGTTTGGGAAGGTGTGTGTTCTGTTTATTGGTGTTCCTCCAAAGCTCCTCCCATGGCTGAGGGCAGTCAGATAAGGCCCCTGCCATTGCTGAGGACTGACAAATGCCGACTTCACCACATGCCTGTGCTCATTTAAGCTGCTCTAGGGGAGTAATGTGCAGCTAAAGAATAGAACTAAATATTTGCTGGGATGTGTTTCACTTAAATGGTGATATTTGGCTTTCAGAACTTAAACTTGGAGAGAGTCCTAATACCTTTTTTGTGCTTCTTTTCTACAGATGGCAGCCTCTCCATAGTATGTCTAATATGAGTCCCACATCTCGGTCTCTTAGCCAACTTCAGTCTCAGCTCCACTGGCTTGAGAGTAAATAGGACTTGCATGAATTCCAAACTCTCTGAATTGAAATTTAGACTGTTGTGTTAACATCCCTTTCTTCTTGTTATTAACAGGTACAAACTGACTTCAAATAGAATATGCCTTTGTGTCTTAGAGTTGCAGCTCAAGCAGAACCATTAACATCTGCTTGATAGTTTTTTTTAAATGTAATTTTAAATAGATTTATTTTAAATTTTGTAGTAGTACCTTTTATAATGTGAAAAACCATGCCCTAACTTTTCAATTTTGTTTATTTCAAGTTTTAGTGGAGAGGTGGTATATTTGTGAAAGTAACTGTAGGCCAGTTTTTTAATTGACAGGCAATTCTGGTCACTTAATGGGTAGGGAATTACACTGCCAACCCAAAGGCTGTTCAGTTCTATCAGCTGCTGTGAAAAAAAGAGGACCAGTCTCCTCCTGTGTGATTTATAACCTCGAAAACTGACAGCGGGTCAGTTACGAGTCTTTTCCCACTGGATGGCACATAACAATTTTGATTGACTGAAACTTTTTAAATTAATTTTGATTGCCTATTTTCTCATTTATACTTTTTTAAAATTGAAGTACATCTTATAGTAACTATAATTTTTAAAATCTTGAGTCATACTTCTTTTTTAGTATATTTTCATTTTTAGTATTTTCTAAAGTAATAGTAAATATTAAAAGTGAAGCTTCTTAATTTTGACAAAATTTGGTATTTTGTAAACAAATTAGTGAGTATTGTTTTGCTGTGTGACTTTAAGTCGTATCTGTTCCTGAAACATCCTCTAGAATAGAGTGTTCTTAGACAGAGGCAGTTTTTCCTCTCAAGGAATATTTGGCAATCTGTGGGGACTTTTTAATTTTAATAGCTGATAGAGGATGTGTCTCATGGACAAAGGGGCCCAGGAGGCAGCTATGCGTTCAATAGGACAACCCTCTATAATAATCATTTGGCTTCAGTATCATTAGTTCTGAGATTGAGAAAATCTGCTATAAAGCTTTCTGTGGATTTAAAAAATTCATTTCTTTTAGGAAGTATATAAAATATACTTTGGCTCCTTTTGTTAGCAAGACACTAGAGTCTATGGAGAAATCAAAGTAATTTGTAATTTTACCTCTTTCAAAAACAATTTTAAAAAGTATTCTGTTTCTCTAAATCAGTCATAAAATACCAGTTAAACAAAGCCAATAATTAAAAGCATCATAAACATGGGTTTATTTTTTTTAAAAAGGCTGTTGCTATTAAAAGCTAATGGAATGCTAGATCCATGCCTTTCTTTTTTAATTTAGAAAAAGGAATATTCATTAATCCTTTGCAATTATTTGTGAGGAATTTAAGTACCACTGAGATATTCCCAGCACGGTGCCTTTTCTGTTCTTAACTGATTTGAATGATTGCTTTTAGCTCCAGAAAATTAAATGTCGTCAGAAGACCGAGAAGCTCAGGAGGATGAATTGCTGGCCTTGGCGAGTATTTATGACAGAGATGAATTTAGAAAAGCAGAGTCTGTCCAAGGTGGAGAAACCAGGATCTACTTGGATTTACCACAAAATTTCAAGATATTTGTGAGCGGTTAGTCACAATATTAATGGTAGTTAGTACTATGACTGATTTAATGCATGCTTCTGTCTTAATTGAAAATTGCCATGGGGTAAACATTTTTCAATTTGATTCTTCCTTTTTGACCCTTAAATTAAAGGTGTATTTCTTGCATTCCAGTCTTCCCTCTATCAGTGTATCTGCTGTGAGTCGTTGGCTTTTAAAGAGGGATGATCAAAGAGAATCAGTAGTGTAGGGGAAAACAAACGGAAAACTTTTAAAGTACCATGATGGGGGTTACACTTTTTGATTTTTAGAATCGTTTTGGGTATCATTCATATGTTAACACATGCTGTTACTTTGTGACTATTTGCTTCATTAGAAACAAAACAAAAACCCCACAAACCACTTTTAACTGCTGCCTTTGGTACAAACATTCACAGAAGCCCTTGATGTACATTCTCTCAAAATGTTTCTGGGATAAAGGTATTGAGTAAAAGTAAGTGTGGTCATTTAAATGAGACTTTGACTGTGACAGTGATTGTTGTACCTTGCACTCAAGCCTGAGATCATTGTACTGGCACCTATTTCCCAGCTACATGATTCATGGTATTTGGCATATGCTGATCTAAGTAGGTCATGGCTGTTTAATAGACATCCTTTTATCTGGATGAACTACAGTTAAACAAGCAAAAGAAAACACTATATTAATCATTTGTGTGAGAAATTAGACTCAAAAGTGTGTAAGAGACTAAGCTGTATCTAATGAAGGTGACAACTGCAGAATTAAAATGATAGACTATAAAGTGCTGTGGTGGAGGATTTTTGTCCTCTTAAGTAAAGCATTTTTTTCTTAAGCACAGTAATGGACACTCAAGTGCTGACCAGCTGATCCTTTCTAATCTTTGTTTTCGGTTCAGGCAATTCAAATGAGTGTCTCCAGAATAGTGGCTTTGAATACACCATTTGCTTTCTGCCTCCACTTGTGCTGAACTTTGAACTACCACCAGATTATCCATCCTCCTCCCCACCTTCATTCACACTTAGTGGCAAATGGCTGTCACCGACTCAGGTTAGACCCCAAACTTCATTTCTCCTATCCATTTTTAGAACTTAAAAAAAAAGAATCCTCTCTAATGGAAGATTATCTTTGATGATCTTGAATTTATTGCATGCAGAACAAACAGCTTGAGTTTGTGATTTCCCTCCCCCCTTGTTCTCATGAATCTTAATGAATTGAAATTGCTGTGGTGTTTTGGAATGGAATGTTAATAATTAAAACTGCTGATCATGATGGTTTGCAGTAGGAATAATTTTTAATCAAATATATTGTTTCTTATCTTCCTATTTTCTCATTTTAATTTGTATTGTAATGAAGACTGCGAAGTTCTCCTCGTTTTCCTCAGATTTTTATGTCCGCTTTCTTTCTCAGTTTCTTATTCCTTCAATGAGATACTTAATTGTAATTAGGAGATTGGAAAATTAAGCTAATGAAGTTATAATAAACAAATTTCCTAAATAAACATAATTATTTTCTCCTTAGAGATTTGGGTATTAATGAAAAATCATTTTAGACAAGTTTCACATAGACCTAAATGCACAGAAATGAAAATGTGTCTGGCTCTTGTATCAATGACACGTTATTAAACACCTTGATTTTCTTGTATTACACATCCTTTCCTTGTAGCAGCCTTAGCTCTTGATTGAAACATAATCATGTCTTGAAGTTAATGTAGAGAATTTGGGATAGATAACAGATCAATAGCAGCTACTTTTCTGAAAGTTGTGATGAAGATTGATAGACTGATGTATATGAAGACAAAAGCTGTCAGAGTTCCTGACCTCAAGGATCAGCCTGTCACTTTTCCATTTTGATTGCATAATTTTCATTCCCTTATTCACCAGTTTGATCTTTTGTATAATTGAGCTAATGGTTTAATAACAAAATGAAACGTTGGAAGTGGTAATACATGTTAAAGACATACTCTTTATATTCTAATGGACAGGTTTAATGATAGTGGATTATTTGCCCAAGAATATCAAAGCTGGATGATGATTATTGGGCTGAAAGTTGACTGAATTCTTTAGCTGTGCATAGCCACACTTCTCCCTAGGCTCTGATGGCATAGTTGATAGGGAGTTAATACTGCTAAACCAAAGGTAGTGCCTCGCTGGAGGTTCAAACCCAGTGGAGGAAGATGGGCAGTCTCCTCCCCTGTGATTTACAGTATCCGGAAACCCACCAGAGGGTCAGCTCTCACGTGAATTAACTGGATATGCAATTGAGTTTCACATTCTAGCCAGATGATATTTACTTAATGATGACTTTTTGGTGGGAGAGATGTTAATGATTTTGTGATTTATAGCTGGATTCTTTATAAAATATTTTGTGCATTTAATTGACATTTTAATTGGTCTTTGCCTCTTGATTCAATTTTTGTTTGCTGACATGTATCACACCTTTTGATAGTGAAATTAACAGATGGGCCTATAATTCACTGACTCAGAGTTGGTGGGTAGAGGGAAGTGAATGTATTCTTCTAGTATTTTCTGTTATCCTTCCATATACCTGACCCCCCCCCTACACACACACACACCACCACTGTACATACACTGTCTTCATCTTGCTTTCTTTTCCTCTGTCTCTTCTCTCATTTGCATGGTCGTACCTTTTGAGAATTGCTGGAGAAGAGATGGAGATTTCTTCATTGGACTCATGTTAACACAACACTCAGCTTCCTTTTTAGTATTTATTATGTTTTATGGGTTTCAGCAGAGTTTCTGAAAAGTGCAGTTGATCTTAACGGGCATATTAATGTAAATGTGAAAAAGTGCTTGATGCCTAACCTTAAACTTTTCCATAAATGTTTGAGTCTTCATGAAAGATTGAGTGAAGAGCACTAAATAGAGCAAGGAACAGAAAATGTGATCTTTTTTACTTGTTATTTCAGCTTATAAAATTTGTTTGCCATGTGGAAAGCTTATTTTTAAAGGTTTACCTAAAAATAAAAACTGCTTATACTTCCTAAACTCTCCTTACAAATATTTTATATACCTAGTGGAAAATTCTCTTGTATTTGCCTTTCAAGTGGAGAAAACTGCTTTCAAGGAGGAGAAGCCTAAATTGTTTATAATTTGGCTCCTTATTTTGGTGAAAGTGAGCTTTCCTTATGGCAGGTGGCCAAGCCATGTTGATAGTGTATAATTATGTCCAGCTACAAGATTAGTCTGCTTTCTTCCAATACCCAGGATCTGATATAAGACTTAGAATGAATGCTGAGTTAAAACCAATTTGTAACTCTGAATAACAAGGATTCAGGTTTAATTACATTAGCAATTCTTTGCTACAAGTTATTTTTTGGTAGGACTAAGAGTTAGAAGTAACTTAAAAATTCGGTTTCTATCTTTAAACAGTTCTTAGAATTACTATTCCATGATATAGGCTAGGATAACCTTTTATTGCTCTTAAGTTGAAACTGACTCATAGCATATCCCCCAGGAGCCTGTAAATCATAGAGGACTAGATTGTCCATCTTCCTTCCACGGAGCCACTAGATTGCCCATCTTCCTTCCACGGAGCCACTAGATTGCCCATCTTCCTTCCACAGAGCCACTAGTGCAGTAAAACTTCCAGAGAGGCACTGCCTTTGGTTTAGGAGCTCCACTCCTACAGACAATAGCACAAAAGCACCATTTTTTGAGTTTTGAGAGTTCCAAAGGAATTTAAAAATACTCATTTTAGAACCAAATCTCTTACATGAGATATATAGCAATATTAGAACAAATGAAGAATAAAGTTCCTAATTTCAACAGATTTTCTATAAATCTTTCTTCACTTGTAGAGCCTTGCCATTTCTGTTGTTCTCATGGTCCTTCCTGCTTCTTTTTTGTGCTGTTCTCAGATTCATTCTGCTGAATAGGTTAAGAAACTTTCTGATAGGAAGTTTGGTGTTGTTTTATAGCAGAGTTTACAACAGCAGTGAAAAGTAGTGTCAGGAAGCCCAATTTACAACTTGAAAAGATTTAAAGAGAAGTCAGGGCTTGGCAGCATCATCATCTTCCCTTTCTCCACTCACCAGCATCCTCTTTTGTTTTTTTCCCAGCTGTCTTCTCTGTGCAGACACTTGGACAATCTATGGAAAGAATACCGTGGCAGTGTGGTCTTGTTTGCCTGGATGCAGTTTCTTAAAGAAGAGACCCTCACGTACCTGAACATTGCTTCTCCTTTTGAGCTCAAGATTGGTCCTCAGGGAAAAGTGCAGAGAAGAGGAGCCCAAGCCTCGGCCAGCACTGAGCCGGAGATTGGGGGAGCTGCTGGGTCTGATGTAGAGCAAGAGGAAGTTCTGGATGAACGAGCAGTGCAGGATGTGGAATCATTGTCAAGTCTGATCCAGGAAATCTTGGACTTTGATCAAGCTCAGCAGAAAAAGTGCTTTGACAGTAAACTGTTCCTGTGCAATATTTGTTTCAGTGACAAGCTAGGTAGTGATTGCATGTACTTCTTAGAATGCCGGCATGTGTACTGCAAAGCCTGTCTGAAGGACTACTTTGAGATCCAGATCAGAGATGGCCAAGTTCAGTGCCTCAACTGCCCAGAACCAAAATGCCCTTCAGTGGCCACACCTGGTCAGGTAACTGCTTACTCTGCTGGCAGCTGCCTCTTAATTAATTTTCACAAGAGAAACTAAACTGTTGTCTTAGGTGCTTCCTTGATAGAGCTTATCAGGGAAGTTTGAGATCTGGAGCCAGCCACAAGTTGTTTTGCTGTATTGCTCAAGAACTCTGTGGTCCATTTGTTGTTGTTTGGTGTCCTCAAGTTAAGCACGACTCATAGTGACCCTGTGAACAAAATATCAGAACCTAGTCCTATGGTCCTATCCTGTGTCATCCTCACACTTCTGACACACAAGAGCCCTTTGCAGCAGTCACCGTAACGATCCACCTGGTTGAGGGTCTTCCTCTCTTTTGCCGACCCACCAGCCTTCCCAGCATCATGTCCTTCTCCAAGGAACAGCACGTCCTAGCAACTTGTCCAAAGTATGTGAGGCAAAGCCTCATCATTTTTGCCTCTCAAAAGCACTCTCTAAGACATATTGGTTAGTTTTAGGTGAATGTAAATGCATCCTTTGTTGACCTCAGGATAGAAGGATGAGTATTAAATCTAATTATTTATTTTGTGTATCTGATAGGATCCCATTGACTTGGTGGGAGCTCTAGCTTATTTTTATGTAATTGAGATATGTAGGGGACATCTCTTGTAGTAGTGTGACTAATTGAATCATTTATAAACTTTAAAATATGGGCAGCCTACTTGGTTTGTTTTTTTAAAAAATCTACTTAAGTAAAGCACAATTTTAACTGTAATAAACTATATACCCATTTAAAATATATTCTTTGCTTAATTTTAACAAGTGAATAGACACTCAATCAGGATATAGATTATTTTTATATAGGATTCGATTTTTTTTTTTTTTATGGAACGCTTCACGAATTTGCGTGTCATCCTTGCGCAGGGGCCATGCTAATCTCTGTATCGTTCCAATTTTAGTATATGTGCTGCCGAAGCGAGCACAGGATTCGATTTTGAAGTGAGACTCTGTGCCCATCTCTCTTGCATGAGTGACTCAAGATCAGAAACGGTTGACAAACTAGCACACCTGTGGTGTTTTGTATCTCTCTCCAGGTCAAAGAGCTAGTGGAAGCAGAGTTATTTGCCCGTTATGACCGTCTTCTCCTCCAGTCCACCTTGGACCTGATGGCAGATGTGGTATACTGCCCCCGCCCATCCTGCCAACTGCCTGTAATGCAAGAGCCTGGCGGTACCATGGCCATCTGCTCCAGCTGCAATTTTGCCTTCTGTACCTTGTGCCGATTGACCTACCATGGGGTCTCTCCCTGTAAGATAATGGCAGGTAAGCTGCAACCAAGAGAACTGAGCTCTCTTTTCCTGCCCTGTTACTCACTCCTACTCCCCCCAAATGCCTCTTATTTCAGTTTGCAAGTATTCATTTAATAAACATTTTTGGTCAGTGACTCTTCTAGGTTTTGGGGATATAATTGTGATAAAAGGCAAACTATCTGCCCTCATGGAACTTACATCCCAGTGAGGCAGGCAGGCAGACAAAATAAATAGGATATTAGGTGGTGGTGATTATTGAGGAGAGAAAAGAAATCAAGGATAGAACATGAAATATTCTTAGTGGGAGGGCATTTGGGATTTTAGTTACGAAAGCAAGAGGAGGCTTTTACTGACAAAGTGACTTGAGTAAATGCTTGAAGAAAGTCAGGAAACAAGCTATGCAAGTATCGGGGGAAACATTTCAGGAGAAGGAACAGTGTGGTGCTTTCTGCCTGTGACATTGAATGACGTAGATCGTGGGCGGTATGTACACAGTACCTTGGCGGCCACCTTTATTTCCATGGCTTACACGTCTGATCAGTCACCAAGTGCTCTTTCACTGATTACCTCGTAATCATCCCCAGCATAGCACTTTGGAAAGTTGCCATCGTGTTGTAGTAAGCCTCAGAGGTGGAACCTAGAATAAGGATTGGGAAATCAGATCCCTGACACTGATTTAACTGGACTCTGGTGGTTTAGTCTTCCTCACTTGTAATCGGGATGATATACTAATAGCTGCTTTGTAAGTATGAATGAATGGATGTGGTACTACTCAAAGTTGTTAAATTTCCTTTCCCAGTTTATGATGAGGTAAGAATAGAAAATGATCATCAGAATTAGACAGCTTTATTGCAATTTGACAGTAATTTTATGCCAGTTAAATATCATTTTAAAAATTTAGTATTTTGTCTTTTTATTTTAATTTTTCCAGTGATTCATTATATTTTATGGAAGTATTAATCCATGATAGATTGGTGGGGGCGGGAAGAACCATTCCTTTACCATAAACAGTTTGAGAAACAACAAGTTAATATGTGCAAAATATAATGTGGTAATTATTATAATGAATGACAAAGCAAAATACTACAATGAAATGTGCGAGGAGCTAGAGTCAGAAAATCAAAAGGGCCGAACTTGCTCAGCATTTCTTAAGCTCAAGGAACTGAAGAACAAATTCAAACCTAGAGTTGCTGTAATCAAGGATGCTTTGGGCA